ACCCCCCCACACACACACACACACTCATGCATGCATGTCTTAACTCTGGCCTAGTCAGAGTTTTCCTTAGACTACCATGCTCTAGATCAGCAAATGACTGACTGTGGGCTAAATCTGGCCAGGGACTTAGTTTTTCTGGCACACAAGCTAAAGTTTATATTTTAAAAGAGTCCTATATATACCTAATGTGAATATACAGTAGAGACCCTATGCAAAACTCAGAAGAGAGCCTATGAGAGGCTATGGTGAAAGTGCAGCCCAGGTGCAGCAGAAGAGCCCAGCGTTTGTTTTTGAGATTGAAAGACCTCAACTCAAACCCAGCCTGATACCAGCATGTATTTGAAAATCACTCTGGCCACACACACAGCTCTGGGAAAAAGAACATATGAAATGGCTGGTCATGATGACCAGTCTCTGGAAATTGTTATTATTACTAGTTTCCAAGGAATGTTATTATCCTCAACAACTGTCTGGTTTCTAACAATTGTTATGGGTTACCCTGCTCCAGAGCACCCAAGTTTTGAAAATAAATATAAGTCACTCTGTTCCCGGAAAAAACACTGGCTGTCCCATGGCCTTGCAGTTGTAAAAACGAAAATAACATTCCAAACCCCTGGTGGGCAAAATTGTAAGTTCAGTTCCCAACCAATCAGTAAATGACTCATATATGTTATAGCCAATCATCAGGTTGTCACACTCCTGCCAAGTGACCAAAAAGATATAAAATCTGCTTGCTTTGGAAACTTGGGGTCGATCTCTTCTCAGAGAAAGACCCTAACGAGTTGGAATAAAATTCTTTTGCTTTTGCATCGAACTTGCATCCCGTGAGTGACTCTGCGGACTGTGTCTCCCAAAGTTGTTCCCCTTTTTGGGCCCAACAAGATGACCACCAAGAACAGCAGTAGCAGTGGAGTAGAGCCAACCAGAGCCTAAAAGACAAGCTGTGTGTTGTTCAGCTTAATGGTGTCGTCACAGTCCTGGAGAAATTGTGGTTGTGGGGCCCCATCCTCCTTTTGGAGACTTCAAAGGTCACTGGTAGGTGTGGTCATGGTTCATTGCAGAAAACTGATAGAGGCTCAAACCCAAAATCATGTAGATGAAACCTTTTTCTAGAATTATTTCATAATCTATATGAACATTAATATCACGACAAAAACTTTAAAATATATATATATATATATATTAATTTTATAAATTTTTATATAAATATACTATTTATGCTGTTAAAAGTCAATACAAAAGCAAAGGATTGAGAGATTAGTGGAAGTACCATAGTCTTGAAATATTTTTTTCTTCTGTTTTATATCAGGTGGCTCTTCTGACATGAGACACAGATTTTTGGATTTTACTTTAACAAGCATTGGGTTTAGAGGAGAGAGCCACACTCCAACTCCAAAGCCAGCTTTAATCTTTAATTGGATCGGGACTACAAAAAGGCCATTTGCATTATATGACTGTAGAGAAAGGCAGAAACAAATGTTTGGGAAGATTTTTGAAATTTCATCCTGTTGGAAATATGATATACCAATAGCCCAATTTACTTCTTTTTTTGGGACAATTTTTCTGGATGATTGTTCCTTTTTGTTCAGATGTCTCATTTGTCCAGTGGTCTCTGGATTCTTTAGCTGGATACCCAACCCTAAATTTTGGGGAAGTCCTCTTTGGGCAAATTATATCTGATCAAATGAAAAACATTTGATTAAGTGGCCATGTTGCTTGTGAACTATTACCTCTTCTAATTAAGAGGTGTGTTGGTCATATCTAATCTTTATCAATTTTGATGGTATCCATAGCTTTTCTTCACCTGTGAAAACAAAAGCAAAACCCCTTCCTCAATGTAATACATGTCCTGGTTTTCACTTGGAGGTCAACACATCTTTATAGTGTACCGGCTGATTTAATTCTAAAGCTTTTCTATTACCCACTGTCTCTCCGAAGCTGTTGTTCCTTTCTCATTAGTATTCAGAAAATTCAAAGTTGCACTATGCAATCTATTTCTGGGATTTTTTAATCATCCCTTTCTGTTTATTTAGCATATCCTTTGGAGTTCAATTTGATCTTTCTATAACTGCTTGCCCTATAGGATTATGTGGTATACCAGTAATAGGGTTTATATTATAATAAGCAAAGAACTGTTTAATTTTCTTAGGGACATATGCTGGAGCATTGTCAGTCTTTATTTGTGAAGGTTTACCCATGATGGCCATAACTCTGAGCAAATGTGTAATTACCAAACCAGCCCTTTCCAAACTCAAAGCAAGTGACCATTAAAAACCCGAATAGGTATCAATGGTGTGGTGTACATATTTTAATTTACCAAATGCTACAAAATGGAACACACCCATCTGCCAGATTTCATTCCTTTGAGTATCAATTGTGGAGATAGTGGAGTTTGGTTGTATAGAGAACAAGTAGAACATTTCTTTATAATATCCTTGGCTTGTTGCCATGTAATAGAAAAGTCTTTTTTCAAACCTTTGCTATGGTGTGTTTTAAAATGAAATTCTGAGAGCTGGGCATTGGTGGCGCACGCCTTTAATCCCAGCCCTCGGGAGGCAGAGGTAGAAGGATCTCTGTGAGTTCGAGGCCAGGTTGGTCTCCAGAGCGAGTTCCAGGACAGCCATGGTAGTTGCACAGAGAAACCCTGACTTGCAAAACTAAAAAAAAACTAAAAAAAAAAAAAAAAAAGGGGATGCTTAGAGGGTAACATATCACCTTCTAGAATGCACTTACGCTTTGGATCTAATGATCCACATGTGCTCTCTGTAATTCATCTTTCACCAAAGCCAATTCTCTCTCAGCTTCAGCTGTTAATTCCTAGTTACCATCTAAGGTTTGTTTAAATGAATTAGTTGATCAGGTTTTAGCCCAAAGAAGTGCCATTGATCAGAAATCTCTCCTAGCAATCTTTGAAAGTCATTAAGAGTCTGCAATCAGTCTTTTTTTTTTAATTTTTTTTTTTTTGCAATCAGTCTTTTCTAATTTCCACCTTTTGGGGTCTAATTTTTTGTAAACCTATTTTATATCATAAATAATTAATAGAATCTTCTCTTCTTATTTTTTCAGGAGCAATTTGTAGTTCCCAACAAGGCAAAATTTTCTTGTTCAAACATACTTTCTAAAGTATCAACATTTGAGTCAGCTAACAAAATATCATCCATATAATGGAAAATTTATAGATTGAGGAAATTGCTTACATATTATTTCCAATGGCTGATGTACAAAATATTGGCACATGGTAGGCTATTTAACATTCCTTGTGGGAGAATCTTCTACTGATAGCTCTAAGCAGGCTGAGAATTATTGTAATTAGGCAGTGAACACAAATTTTTCTCTGTCCTTTTCTTGTAATGGTGTACTAAAAAGGCAATCTTTTAAATCAATAGCTATGAAGGCCATCCACACCTGTGTCTACCAGGCCTTCAATGATAATATCATTATTCGTAGTTTTAATTTTCATCTCAGCTCATTTATAGAAGTTTGCCAATATACTCACTTTGTGATTTTTCCTGACATTTTGTTCTTCTCTCTTTTATAGCTCTTCTGTCATTCAGAGCAGTATGATTTCTTGCAATAGGTATTAGCCTCTTAAATTGCCCTGTGAAGGAGTTTCCATGGAGACAGGAAAGGACTGAGTTGAACTTGGTATAGGGGCCTGTGAGAGGATCCCTCAGGGAGTTTCCTGATGGCAAAGTATTGCCTTAAAACGTCTTGTTGACCTACATTCTTTAGTCCAATGCCTGCCTTTGCAACATCTTCTGCATAATGCAGAAGGGAGGGCGTTCTGTTTGGATTATGTTTATAAAAAACATTGTTTCTAGGAACACCCTGTTAACAGTCCTTTTTAAGGTGACCTTGTTTGCTACAATTGACATCTGACATTTAGATTTTTTTAAACCTCTTGAAAGCAGCTCTCTTATCCATCTATCATCATCATAGCCATGAGTTTCTTGTATTTCAGATCCAATCCTCCAGAGGTGCTGACCTGGCTTTTAAAGGCCTAATTATCCTTCTGCATTGGGCATTAGCATTTTCTTTCTTTCTACCACCCAGCAGGCATTAGCATTTTCAAAAACCACAGTTTCAATTATTATTTTTCTAGCTTCTGTGTCTGATATCATTCTGTTGACTGCTGATGACAGTCTTTGTAAGAAATGTGTGAAAGCTTCCTTTGGGCCCTGTATAACTTTTATGAATGATTCAATTTTCTTTCCTACTTCCCCAATTCTGTCCCAAGCATTCAAAGTTGCTGTACAGCATAAACCCAAGAGTTGATCATCATATTGGCATTGACTTTCTAAAGTAGCATAATCTCCTTCTCCTAGAATTTGCTCTTGGGAGAGAATTTTTTTTCTTTGCTTTGATTGATTGTGACTGTTCCCTGATTCTTTCCTCTTGAGGTAAGAACATATTTTACTGGAGCCCACAGTTGAGAACCTTGAATTTTTTATTTTTTGTTGTTTGTTTGTTTGTTTTCAAGACAGGGTTTCTCTGTGTAGCTTTTCCTGGAACTCACTCAGAGCAGGCTGGCCTCTAATTCACAGAAATCCACCTGTCTCTGCCTCCCAAGTGCTGGGATTAAAGGGGTGTGCCACCACCACCTGATTGAGAGACTTGAATTTTAAAAGACTTTAGATTTTAAGAGATTGGCTATTATAAAGAAACTGGAATTTTAGTGTGTTTGAATTTTGAAAGACTGTGGGACTTTTAAAGTTACTTAAGATCAAGGGAGTGAGTAAGAAAGGCAAAGTCTTGGCTTAATAGTGATGTGTTTGTGTGTCAAGTTGACAAGGTGTCAATTGTACTGGGTGGTTTTGTGTGTCAACTTGAGAGGTTAGAGTCATCAGAGGAAGGAGCCTCTGTTGAGAAAATGCCTTGATGATATCCAGCTGTAAGGCATTTTCTCAATTAGTCATCAGTTGGGAGCAGCCCATGGTGGGTGGTGCTATTCCTGGGATGCTGGTCCTGGGTTCTATAGGAAGATGGGCTGAGCAAGCCATGGGAGCAAGCCAGTAAGCAGCTCCCCTCCATGGCCTCTCCCCTCCATGGCTCCTGCCTCCAGGTTCCTGCTCTGCTTGAGTTCCTGACCTGACTTCCCTTTGGTGATAGCAGCTAAGCTGAAGTGTAAGTCAAATAAACTCTTTCCTCCCCAACTTGCTTTTTGGTCATGGTGTTTCATCTTAGCAGTAGAAACCCTAAGATTGCCCCACCACCACCACCACACAAACACTTAACAGCACAGCCAGAGTTACTCAGAGAGATAAGCAGGCCTCTTCTTTCTTCTCCCTTCTGCATTTGTAAAAAAAAGACAGTTTTTACTCTGATGCCCGGTCTGGCCTGAAACTTATTTAGCCCACACAGCTGACCTCAAACTCATGATGAGTCTCCTGCCTTAACCTTGTAAAGTCCAAGGGAAACTCTTATATTCCCAAAACTCCAAAAGGAATCAGCTCAACTGTAGACTGAAGTTTCTGTCCAGCCATCCCTCAGTCCCAAGTAAATACACAGAGGCTTATATGAATTATAAACTGTTTGGCAGATGGCTCAGGCTTTTTTTTTTTAAGGATTTTATTTATTTATTATATATACAATATTCTGCTTCCATGTATATCTGCACACCAGAAGAGGGCACCAGATCTCATTACAGATGATCGTGAGCCACCATGTGGTTGTTGGGAATTGAACTCAGGACCTCTGGAAGAGCAGTCGGTGCTCTTAACCTCTGAGCCATCTCTCCAGCCCTGGCTCAGGCTTCTTATTGGCTATCTCTTAATTATTATTCATTTCTATTAACCTGTGTCTCTATTTGTGGCCTTGGCTTACTGGTGATGCCCAGACCTCTTTCTCCCTCAGCAGCTACATAGCATCTCTCTGGTGTCACAAAGTCACATCCCACAGGTCCCCTAACCCAGGCCTACAGCAGTGGACACATTGCTTTAGACTTTGGGTTCAGACACAGGCTTGTGAAATGGGGTGCTGCGTATCTAAGTCCAATTCCCAAACACCTTTGGGTGTCTTGTTACAAAATCTATTCAGATTGGGCGTGTCTCACACCACGCCCAGAGTGCCTGACTTCTTGTGTTCTAAGGTCTGCCTGGCCAACCCTGTCTACCCACCCCCAGCCCCACTGCCATATGCTCCATTTAGTGGCCAACCTTCATTCCTTTCTCTGCCCCTCCCCTTCTTCCCCTTCCAGGGCAAAGTTTGAAGGCAAACTTCGTCCTCTCTCCCCTCCCTCTCACTGCCCCTCTTCCTTCCATACCCCCTCCCAATAAGGATACTTCAGTGCCACAGCCTACACCCTGGTCCCCATTGGCACAATGTCCTAACCCTCCCGGGACTCCTCTTTGGTGGCTTCTCATATACAGTCTCAGCAGACCCCTGCCCTTCCCTGGCCCCTCCGAGTGGCTGGAACTGAGGGAATTGTTTGAGTCTATGTCTTCTTCTCCCTTCAGGACCAGTTGGGTTCCTTCTCTGCTAATCTTCCTGCCTATATCAAGAAGTTTCATTATCTTTCCCAAGCCTAAGACCTGACGTGGTCTGACCCCTGTGTCATCCCAGCACTTGACCCTCACTCCCGAGGAGAGAGGTTGAGTTCAGGCAGCAGGGAGACAATATGCAGACCAAACCTACTGGGTCAAAATGGCCACCAGAGAAGGGAGCTCACGGTCCACTGCCCCCTTCAGAGTATGGAAATGAGCTTGGCTTGGGATCTTTCCACATTTGATCCTGGTCCTAGCTCACTCCTCCAATTCACAGATGATCTCTTTCTCTGCAGTCCTTCCTTCCTCTGTCCCTATGGGCCACCTCTTTGCTCCTAAACTACTTGGCTCCTGGGATACTGTGTTTCCCAATCTAAGGATCAGCTCTGCTCTCCCATTGTGGTGTATTTAGGATTTCAACTCAACCTAAGGTCTAAGACTGTAAGAACAATACACCTAACGACAGGCAGGGCACACACAGGAAAACTTGCTAAGTCATCGACAAGTCACCCGCCATGCATTACGGCCTCCATGAGGACTCTGCGCATGTGTGAAACCCCAGTGCACATGTGCATCCTTCCCTTTAAAAGGTCCAGCCTTCCACCTTTCTCCCTCTCTTTGGATCCTCTTGGGTTGGCTGACAACCCAACTCCATCCCCCCCTTCAGGTAAATAAACTCCATGTGGGTTGTTCATCCGTTGTTCCTTTCTTTATATCAGCAGCTGCTGCTTAAAAAGAGTAACATTTGGTGCCTAGGACGTGGAAAGGCTCTCCTTGTACTTTCACCGGCGCCCGCTGGGAAAGCGGGAACATGGGAAAGCAAGGGAACCCTTACAGGCGGATCGACAACCCACACTCCATCTCACTGGTTTGCTGGGACTCTACATCCAACACTGGACCCTATTGGGTAAGACTACCCTCTTTCAGTCGGCGTAAACGTCTCCCTGAACCTGAAGGATTGACTGTTGAGTGTCTGGCATCCTTCTGGTGTTCTTGGAGGTGGGAGAGCACCCAGCCACAATCTTCATGGTCACAGTCACGGTCGACCCCCTTCGCTGACAATCACTCATGGCTTATTTCCTATGGGTGGTCCTATCAGTACCCTTAGTGGCTAGCTGCTGTGGGACTGTCGGGTTCTTCTGTTTTCTTTTTGTTCTTTGGGACAGCCGAGTCCCTATTCAGACCCAGGGTCTATCGGGCTAAGCCCCTTCAGTACCCCCACTAGCTGACGAGCATTAGGAGAGGGGCTTTTACTGGTTTTTAACTTGTTCACCCATGGGAAATAAACCAAATAAGGAGATAAAGCCCATCCACTCCACTGGGATGTTTTTTAGAGAACTTACACCTCATGTCATATGTTAAGGCATTCAGACTCATGTATCTCAGTACTAAGAAATGGCCTAGGGATTCCTTAGAGAACCAGTCTCACTGGCCCCCAAACAGAACTCTAGACCCTGAGGTTTTGTGGGATTTATCTAACTTCTGTACAGGCTTTTTTCTATCTATTTGCTAAACACTCTCTCCCTCATCCCCAATTCTTGGCTATGGAATCTAAGCCCGAAGTAAATCTTATTGACTTAGATCCAGCCAACAAACCTCCACCAGTTCGTCTCCAATCTCTAACCAAGTCCTCTGAAATCACTGCTCAGACCCTCAACCCTCCTATCTCTTCTTCTGCCTCAACTGCTCCTGTTCCAGCTTCCTCTTCCAAACGCCCACCCCTGGCTCCCACCTTCACCCCCCCACTACTCACTCTTGAACAGGATCTCGATCTGCCAAAGCTGATCCGGCCACAGTCCTCCCCTTGCGTGAGGTAGCCGGTGTGGACGGCATGGGCAGAGTCCACGTTCCCTTCCCACTGTCAGAGCTCTCTCAGATTCAGCACAGATTAGGATCCTATACCGCTAACCCCACTGCCTTTATAAAGGAATTTCAGTACATTGCACAGTCTTATAGTCTTACTTTCCATGACATCATGATTTTAAGTAACAACTTACTACATGAGGAGCACAAGCGAGTTTGGAATTATGCGAGGGCATGTGCAGGACCTAAGAAAAAAAAATTTCTAAACTTAACCTTGTCCTCTGCTCTGCGAACATCTTGCCAGGTCTAAAAGGCACCAGGGAGCACCATACAGCCCGGACTGCAATGAAACAACCATCTACCCCAGGACATGGCAGCACCCCAACCTTCTCAGATCCCCCCAAAGATGGTCAATGCCCCAGGTCAACAGGAAGCAGCCTTGAGATTTCTTCCCCTACTTCCCTAACCTGCCACGCCCAATTCCCCAACTTTTATAATAAAGAACAGCTGGGATTGTAAGAACAATACACCTGGATGACCCTGCCCCCTAACGACAGGCGGGGCACGCACAGGAAAACTTGCTAAGTCATTGCCACGTCACCTGCCATGCATTATGGCCTGCGTGAGGACTCTGCGAATGTACAAAACTCCACTGCGCATGTGCATGCGCATGGGACCTTCCCTTTAAAAGGTCCAGCCTTCCATCTTTCTCCCTCTTTTGGCTCTTCTTGGGTTGGCTGACAACTCAGCTCCATCAACCCCCCCCCTGTAAATAAACTCCACGTGGGTTGTTCATCTGTTGTTCCTTTCTTTATATCAGCAGCTGCAGCTTAAAAGAATAACAAAGACCCTCACTTCTGACAGAGCCCAAGCCCTGCAGGAATTACAGCCCCTGAGCATAACAGATCAGATTTTCACATTTTGGGGTCTGATGACTTTACCATCAAAAGACAAGCCGCTGCATCAGGCATCCAGAGAGACCCCCACGGAGCCCCTTATTCATCCAGCCACTGTCTGCCTCCATTTCTCTTTACTGTGGGAAGCCCTCCTAAAGGCCCCTATCCTAGCTCTCCCAGTCCATCCCCCCCCACACACACACACACACTGTGTCACCTCTATACAGATGAAAGGTTGGGAGTAGCCAGTGGGGTTCTAACCCAATTGGCTGGGACTTCGAATTGAGCCATTGCTTTTCTATCCAAACAACTAGACCCCATTGTGTGTGGACGGCAGCCATGCTTGAGGGCCCTTGCAGCAGCAGCCAGACTCACCTGTGAGGCCCTCAAGATCACCCTGTTTCAGCCAGTCACTATATTCCATCCACCACTCATAACAAGCTCTGCTTTCTCCTAACTTTTGTTGACATCTTCACAGGGTGTCTCTCACCTCCGTGAAACAGCAGGTGTGGTGGCTCAGGTACTCCTTGCACACTTCATCTTGGTTCAGCATGCCACACACCATCCAAATGGACAACGGCCCAGCCTTCACTTCCAGGGTCATCAAAGCTCGTGTCTGAAGCCCTCAACATCTCCTGGAAATCCCACATCTCCTACTGTCCACACTCCTCTGGCAAGGTTGAGAGGGCCACCACACTCATCAAACTTGTATTGAACTCAAGTTGTCTTGGCCCTCCCTCCTCCCCATTGCTCTTACCTGCCTCCAGGCCTAAACCCTTTTGAGCTCCTTTACTGAAGGCCCTTCCTCCACATTCACCACCTCCCAGCACTGAACCCTCACTGGCAGGTACCTACCATACCTCTTCCTCCTATGGTCCCTTCTCCATTCACATGCTGACAGCTACCTCCCTGACCCCACACCAACAGATGCAACTGCCCCAGAGCCAGAGCCCACCTCACTCTCCTCAGAGGACTGGGTACTCCTCAAGCAGCTACCTCCTAAGTCTCTAGAGCCCTGATCGACAGGACCCTAAACCGTGATCCTCACTACCTCTTCAGCTGCCAAGCTCCTGGGACACCAATGCTGGTACCATCTCTCCAGGCTCAGAAGGTCTGTACAGCCGCCAGGAGCCTCCTGTAGGAGGAGCTCCTACAGAGCTGCAGCTGAAGGGACCAGCTCCCCATTTCGGCAGCCATAACAGCTGAACACGTGCTTGTCTGACCTTGCCTTGGGCACTAAGAGGTCAGCTGCCTGCCTCATGGCAAGGAACCAATCAGAAGTTAGCTGGTGAAGTTAGCAAACTGCATGAGGCTTTATTGTATTTGTTTTACGAGCTAACCCCATGTTAGCTTGGGCCTTCCATCCATCCACCATGGCGGATGGCTGGGAAAGACAGCTCGAACCGGCTGCATAGAGATCTTATAGGGCAGCATAAGGGGAGTGTCTAGAGTCTAGAGTTACCCACAGGCTCAGGATTGGTGTGCCTCCAGGCTTGGAGGGCTTGCCCTGTGTTGATTGGTCAACTGGTTGTTATGGCCCATAGGCCCTCCCAGGGTGGTTGCTATGCTCTGCGTGTCATTGCTGTGCGCTTGTCCGTAAAGCACACCCAGAGCTGTAAAGCATAGCGCCACCAGCTAACTTCTGATTGGTTCCTTGCCACGAGGCAGGCATCTGACCTCCTAGTGACCAAGACAAGGTCAGACAGGCTCATGCTAGTCTGTTATGGCTGCTGAAATGGGGAGCTGGTCCCTTCAGTTCCAAACCTGGCACTTCTCAGAAAGTTTGCCAAGTGGTGGCTTCTCCCCAGGAGCTGTTCAAGACCACACCTATACAGTATTTAAACTGACTTCTGGAGAGTGGCCATGTAATTTTTCCAGTCTTCTCTCCCCATCTCATCTCTGGGGTGAAAGGTTCAGGCTTTAATGCTGATTGGCTCTACCTCTTTAAGAGACAGACCCTGCCTTCTGACAATAGTCAGGGCATGCACAGGGAACATGCCATCACCCACCACGCAATTACAGTCTGCGTGAGGACTCTGGGCATGCGTGGAACCTCAGTGCACATGCACAGTCTTCCCTTTAAAAGTTCCAGCTTCCCTGCTTCACTCTCTCTCTGCGTCTTCTTCGCTCTCTCTTCTCCCATCTATGTGTTCTCTCTGCCTCTCTATGGCAACCGGCTCTCTTAGTCTCCCTCTCTGCCGGGCCTATAATAAAATGGTTAACATGTCTCATCTTGTGCTTCCTCTCTTTCTTTATATCTAATTTAAACAAAAACATAACATGGGGGCCGGAAAGGTCACCAAGGAACATTTTGTTCAATAAAACCTGATCTTTTATTTTTAATTCAGCTTGATTTGGCTTACTGCATTGGTGGAGAGACCTAATATTGGGGTACAGAAATCTCTCAATGACATAATGGACTAAATCTCTGAACTGTAAGCCAGCCCCAATTAAATGTTTTCCTTTAGCAGAGCTGCTGTGGTCGTAGTGTGTCTTCACAGAAATAGAAACCCTAAGGCAGAAGTTGGTGCCAGAGACCGGAGTATTGCTGTGATAGGCCTGATCTTGCTTTTGTTTGGAGGAATATGGACTTTGAATTGTGGATTAGAAAAGCAGCTGAATGATTTAAATGGGGATTAAGGGGCCATCCTAGTAGGAGTTTAGAAGACATCGGTACTGAGGATGATTTGAACTGTGAGGTTTCAGAGAAGACTGTTAGTGTGTGGCTTAGAGGTTATTCTCATGCTATTTTGGCAAAGAATGTGGCTGCTTTTTGCCCTTGTCTGAAAAGTCTGCCTGAAGGTAAATTGAAGAGTTTTGGATTAGTTGCACTAGCAGAGGAAATCTCAAAAGAGATTAGTATTGACTCTGTTGTCTAGATATTAGTGTTCACTCTCACTATGCAGATCTATAGTGAAAAGGAGCAAACTGAGCAATGAAAAATACAATATGTACAGAAACAGGGCTCCAGGAAGTAGAATGGCACTAAGACCTATTTTCAAGAAGATAAACAGATTAAAGAAGATCCTGGTGTTAAAAACCAATAAAAGGAGTGATGACCTTAGGGCAAGATCCCACCCAGATAAGCTTCCAATTTGTGAAAAGGAATTAAAGAAAAATTTAGGACTGGGTGTGGTAGTTCACAGCACTCTGTAGACAGAGGCAGGAAGATCTCCGAGTTTGGAGCCAGCCTGGTCTACAGATTGAGTAGACCACGACAGCCAGGCTTAGGCAGTGAAAGAAATCAAAAACAGAAATCTGATGAAGATTTAATTAATGAGGGGGCCGTGTTTCAGTCCCAGCAAGCAGCAGAACTTTGCAGCTTCAGCCATGTGGTTCTGGCTCTACAGTCAGGATACAAGAAAGGGGTTATGGAATCTCCCTCTGTGACTAAGGAAAGCCTCTGAGGCCAGGGCTGTCCCTTCATGGAAGTCTAAAGAGGCCATTGTGTGAAGGTGAAGCCTGGATTGCTTTGGAGACCTCAAAATGTTGGAGATGCCAGAGCCATGGGATACCTACGGAAGAGAGCCACTAATTCGGAGTGGAAACAATCTGATGGAGTTGGAGACATGGAGATGCAGAGTTTGGAGTTTACCCAGCTGGTTTTCAGTCTTGCTTTGGTCTAGTATTTCCTCACTATGTTCCCTTTTCTCCCTTTTGGAACAGTAATGTATATCCTGTGCCATTATATGTTGAAAGTATGCGACCTGTTTGTTATGCCAAGTTCAAGAGACCCCAAATAGACCACCAAGGAGCCAACTTTCTGATGCAAAAGCAAAGGTTTCTTTAATCAATCAATGAGTCAACTGTATTAACTTGGTTCCTCCGTCTGGCTGACACAGTGGGTGAAGCAAGAAGGACCCAGAGGGACCATGGGGCAGGTAATTTATTGGGGTAGAGCAAAGGGAGTGCTGGGGTCTTCAACAGTCTCAGGATTGGTGCACTTCCAGGCTTGGGCGAACTGTCCTGTGTTGATTGGCCAACTGGTGGCTATGGCCTATAGGCCCTCCCAGGGTGGTTGCCACTGTTACCGTAAAGCACATCCAGAGCCCACCAGCTAACTTCTGATTGGTTCCTTGCCACATGGAGGGTAACTGACCTCCTAGTGACTAGGAAGTGGGACAAGGTCAGGAAGCCAGAGGACTGCGTCTTGCTGGGTCTTTTCTGCAGCCTGTCATGGCTGTCACAGCAGAGGGCTGGGTGAGGGTCTGGTCCATTCACTGTTTTTATGTTTTGATTTTACAGGGGATTATAATTAAGAGATTGCCATGATCTCAGAAGAGATTTTGGACTTTTATAGACTATAGGAACTTTTAAAGTTGTACTTAATACATTTCTGCATTATGATATGGCTACGAGCCTATGGGGACCAGGGAGTAGAATTTAGAGAGTTGGAAGAAAACGGCCGCCATAGGCTCACAGGGAGTGAGTGGCACTATTAGGAAGTGTGGCCTTGTTGGAGGAAGTGTGTCACTGGGGGCAGGCTTTGAGGTCTCAGATGTTCAAGTCAGGCCAGTGGCTCAAACTCTCTTCCTGCTGCCTGCTGATACAGATGTAGAACTCTCAGCTGTAGCACCACATCTACCTGTAGCCTCCATGCTTCCTGCCATGATGATAATGGACTAACCCTCAGACCTGTAAGCCAGCCCAAATCAAATGTTTTTCTTTAGAAGGGTTACCGTGGTCATGGTGTGTGTCTCTTCATAGCAATAGAAAACCTAAGACACCCTTCAAAATGACAACAGCCCTGAATTCATCTCAGAGATGATCCAACTTAACTGGGAATAGAATGGGTTTTGAAACTTCAAGCTCATCGTCTGTGACACACCTCTTCTAGCAAGCCACACCTCCTAATCCT